ACAACATAATAGGAGGAAATTTAAAAATAAAATTTTTGTTGGAAGTTTTATACTCGCTTAACATTCTTAGACTGTCAGGTGCACATTCACTGACGAATGCCTTGTCAAAGAAGCCCCCTCCTCACTGTGCGGTAAGATTTTGAGTTCCTTTCTCCGCAGCTTCCTTGACCTTCTCTTCTTCACTGTGTGCGCAGAGAACATTATCTGAAGATGAGAGAGAAAATGAAGCCCAGAAACATCGAAGCTAATTCCATTACTATATATTAAAGATTACCTCACCATCAAATGATTTTTTTGTTCTCTTCCTGACCACCTCGATGAATAAAGCAGGATAATGACATTCTCACTATTTGAGGAACACATTTGCATTCGTAATGAAAGAGTCCCTAAAGGGCATAGACATCATAGAGGCAATTGTCTGAATTAATTAAAATTGTTTGCCTGATTAGATAGAAAATGCAAGCATAAACTGCACATCAGGGAAAGTTTCTCTCTTTCCATCAAAGTACAGAAATAAACTATTTTTAACAAAAACTCTTGCAGAATTAAGTTTTATTACAAAAAACACAAGCCTACACATATTTTCCTCTTTTAAAAAAATCTGATTATTTGACAGGCCAATAGAAATAATAATATCCACATATTAATTTTATATTCTTTCAGATTCCTTTAGTGCATAATTAAACTCAAATATAGTAAGATTCTTAAACAGGTATACATATACATCTCAAAATGGAATATGTATATTTCATTGCTTGAACTAAATTTGTTGTAGATGCCTCCTTTAAATTGTGAACTTATGATTAGCTCTAAATATTAACCAACATAAAAAATCATTGACTCTTCATGCAAAGAATGCTAGTTTTTTCTCAATACACAGTGTTAGAAAATGTTTTCATGTGTTCAAATCAACTCAAACGAATTATTAATATAGTAGCTAGTAAAGTAATTAAAACATGAATTATCTTATAACAATTATAGTTTTCTCAATGTTTGCCTAGTATAGTTTCATCCACAAGGATCAGAGCTTTTTGAAACCAAATGTTATCTTCAGGTGTGAGTTGAAAAAGACACAAAATAAAAACACATGGCAAGGGTCCTTCCAATGTAGTTCCACAGAATAGGCTCAGCTTTGGGAACACACAGCCAGGTGAGTCTGCACCATGCACTGCAGGCCAAACCCACCGCTGTGTGGGAAGATAAACACAGCAAGGCATGGCCTCCATGCAGTAGGACCCGAGGAGGAAAAGAATCTGAGAAGCATACAGGCATCCTCGGCGACAGAGTGCTGTGGTGCCTTCCATCACATTCGCATTCTTTTTCTCCCTCTTTGGTTGTTTCTGACTGTTACTAGCCACAAGTAGGATCAAATCAAATCTACTATTTCTCTATTTCATTATTTCAATTTTTTTTTGTCCAATGAAAACGTTAAGTAAGCACAGGAGTATGCTTTTTCCTTACCCTCGTTTATGTTAGTTCAAACACATTCATTTCAACAATTATAAACTATCTCTGTATACATTATAAAATTCCTGCAAAAATTATTGTATGATACTGAAATGACTTGTCAAGAGGGAAGGAGAAAATGGGGGAGGAAGAGAAAGAAAGAGTAAAAAGAATTAAGACGTGTTACATACATGTACTAACTCCCTACGGTGAATGTTATCATTACGTACTGTAAACATGTACTAATGAAAATTTTAAAAAGAAAAGCTTTAGTTTTTTCCCTTGTATAACAACAATTAATTGACCGATATTTTCCCTATTAAATAATTATAAATGCCATTGGGGCCATTTTATCAATATAGCTGAAAAATGGTTCCATAACCTGATATTTAATGTTTTTATCTCATTCCAACAGGGGTACTTCAATGGGAGACATAGCTAAGAGCAATTCAAAGCACACTAAGATACACTGCGAAGGTACTCCATGCAGCAGCACATGTACTACAATTGAAAAGGTACAAGTATGATTAATATGGCCCCTGAGCAAGGATGCCATACACCTTTGTGAAGCATTCCACATTAAGAAGAAAGAAAAGACATATTGCGAAGGAAGTAACTGTCTAAGATGGAGAGAACTTGGGCAAAAAGTAAACAAATACAGCACAGAAAATGTCATTTGGCATTCAGGTAAAATGTTAGATGTTTCATAAAGAGAAAGAACTGTTTAGTTCTAACGGGCATCCAAAGGTATCTTGTTGAGGTATCAATGTTTGAAAAGGAGAACAATGAATGCAATCCCAAAAGTTGGTATCATTCTGTAGGAAAATTAGGGTAATAAAGTTGTATAACACCATCAAAAGAATTGTGTTTCAGAGACTATAGTGCACCAGTAATTATAATATTAGTTAGAAGGCTACCATTAGAAGGGACTTACATTTAGCAGGTTATTATAAAAGTCTAGGCAAGCTAGTTTTCAGTGCAGCAGAAAATAAGGAGCAAGAAACCATCTAAAACCACAGCTTGATAACTCTAATACTGACAGAATGGTTAACATTTATGGCCCTTTGTTATGTATCAGGTTCTACACTAGTCACCTTACAAGGGTTATGTTTACTCAATTGTCACTAGCCTGTAATCATTGGCAGTAATGTCACTTACATCTTACGGATGAGTAAATGCAAATTCATATAGGTTTCAATAGCTTCCTGTACTTCTCACAAAAAATTGTAGGAGGAGCAGGGATTGGAGTCCCAACTTTTCAATCCAAGCCCATGTTGTTAATTACAAATTTGGTACTGTACTGTTGTGGGGCATAAATGAAAGATACTGAGGGATGACAGAACTGCAGCAGAATAACTAGAGAGAAAGCTGTGTCATTAATAGGTTTGGGGACATTGATAAAAGTGTTTACATTGATAAAACTGTTTTTCAATAAAGCCTTTGCTGAGCATGCCTAGGCTCAGTCAGATTTAAATTTTTACCGAAGGAGTGTACCCAAGCTGTTGGCTCACTGACCATTGCACTCAAAAAATGCAATCACTGTTCATTTTCAAATCTGCCAACAAAGTAGTGATGTGATTCCACCTAGGAACTAGTACAGATGTTCAAGATAAGACACTAAAATCTTTCCCAGTGGAAATTCACAAATCAGATATATCAGACATTGTGTCCACACAGATTTTAGTCAAGACTGCTGTTGTAGCATAAAAGCTTCTACAGAAAACACATAAATTAATCCAGTCAATTATTGTCTTAGCTATTTTTTTCTCACCACCAAGACAAAATACCCAGCACCCAAAGTTAAAGGAGGAAATGTATAAGTAGCTCAGTTTGCAGAATTTCAGTCCATAATCAGCTGCATCCACCTCAAGGAAGAATGAAATAGTAGTACACTAGAAGAAAACCAGTTCATGGCAGGCTGAAAGTAACAAAGTAGTGAGCAACAAAAATAGCAGCTGTTCTTCCGTTGCTTACATTTTACCCAGGCCACTTGCCCCATATCATGGGTACCATTTACACCCTTAATCCTAGCATTGCACCATGAATCATGCCCAACACTGCATCCTGAACCCCAGCACCACATGCCCTAGTTTCATCCACCTCAAAAAAAACTCCTCCTATGATCTCATGAGGCTTTGGGAGACATCAAGATACAAGCTACAACTATCATGTTTTAATAAACCTCTACTTATGAATATGGACATTTGAATTTAATAATATTTTTATGTGTCATAAAAGGTTATTCTTTGTTTTTCTTTTTTTATTCTTTGTTTTTCTAACCTCTTAAAAATGTAAAATCATTCTTATGTAGAGGGTAGAACAACAGAAGATAAGACTTTGAAAGTGGCCCATAGGCTGCAATGTATTGTTCTCTAGATAATAAAGGATGATGGTACAAGGCCCACAGAATTAGAAGAGTCATTTTTGAAAAAGAAAGGACACAAGGGCTGGAATGTAACACAATGGAAGATCACCTTTCAGCATACACAAGGCTTTAGTTTCCATTGCCATGCCACAAAACAATTGCTTTTTAACAATATGAAGAAGATTGGAAAGGCACAGATTGGGATAGAAAAAAAAAGAGATAAAAACATACAAAACATGTTTTGGATATGCCATGTTTTATGATAACCCAATAGTTAAAAAAATAAGCGTGTCATTGCAATTTATTTTGTTTTCCTGAAATTTTATAACAGTAATCAGCTCAACATTTTACAAAGCAAATCACTTACTGTCAATATGGGTACTTCAATTTATTAGAAAGAGTAGTTATATTTTCATATGAAATGTATCTCTTTTTATGAATTTATAGACATTAACTGATAGCTCCTCTACATGAGAGTATGTCTGAAGGCATCTATTTTCTGTCTCCCAGATTTTAAGAATAAGCATATCAAGTGCTTAGATCTTCAATATAATGTATGCTTTCTAAAATATTTATTAATCACATAGACTTCTGAAATAGTTTTTTCTTCTTAATGTATTTCTTAAGGTTTAAGATAAAATGCCACATTGTCTTGAGTTAAAATAAGCAAGGCTACATAATTTTTACCATTCACAAGAAAATATGAACCTTCAAACAAGAATAAATGCAATCTAAGTCACTTTGTGTAAATTTTAGCTTAATGTAAAAGACAGGGCAGAGGCACAGAATACTGAGGGGTCAATTATTGTTCACTCTGACCAAAGTCCTTCTACACTCTTCTAAGTCACCTCCACAGCAGCATTCCATTACAGCTGGAATTACTTACAGGAAAGGCCAAATTACTTTAACCACAAACTTCAAGTCAAAATATTACCAATGACATCCATTGAGCTGGCTTGATCCATAAATCTCATCTCTGCCCAGAGAAGAGTCAGAGATTATTTCTCCCCTTGGATGAAGCATTACTTCATCCAAATGAATCAAACACAAGAAGCATAAAACTCCTTTTATCTCCTTCACGCCTTTCCTTTTTTATTGCATGCTTTATGACTGGTTCTCTGCTTTCTATTTTTTGTTGCTTTGGATATAAAAATATGCTCCAAAGATGATGAGAAAATATAAGCAAGCTCCACTTTACATATTTTATTCTAGAAGCTGAATTTGAAAGTGAAAATCAAAAAATAAACAAGTGGAGCTGATGTTCTAAATGAACTGCATAGGTAGACTCCTAATGAAGGGCACCTTGCCCTGAAGAAAGGGGCACTTGGGAAGCCCCCACCCTAGTATTCTCCTTGGCACCATGGGTGCCTTAAAACTCATCACTAACAGTGATCATGATTTGATTTTCCCCAAAGAAGTTTTCTTTTGTTTGGCCTCTTGCAGACAGTCTTCTCTAGTAACACAATTCCACATCATCCACTTACAAAAGATGTAATGATTAGGCAAAGTCTGTCACAGACTCATCCTTAGCAAGTTTATAAATGGTAAATGTATTAGTCTTCTTAAGCTGCCTTAAAGAGTTCCACAGTCTAGATGGCTTAAACAACAGATTTTTTTTGGTCAAATTTCTTGGAAAACAACATAGTGGGCAGTTGGGTCTCAAATGGCTCCCCTACACTTCCCTTAACTTCTCACCATCTTCATGTGGCCTTTACCTAGTGATCACACTAACCTGGTATCCCTCTTACTCTTTTTACAAAGATATGAGTCATATTGTATTAGGTCTCCATCCTTATAACACCACTTAACATTAATTGTCTTCTTAATGGCTCCGTCTGCAAATGCAGTCACCTTGGGAGTTTGAGCTTTAACACACAGGGAAGGGGATTCAATTCATAATTGCATTGAATATTGTAGAAATCATAGCAAAAAAAAAAAGAATTGTTGCTCTGTCTCCTTAAAACAAAAGAATGCAACAGTGTTACTTTTCTAGTTGCTGAGATGAAATATTTGATACCCAAAGTTAAAGGAGGAGAGGTTTATTTAGCTCACAGTTTGCGGAATTTTCATTTCATTGTTAGCTGGCACAAAGGCAGAGCAGCATGACAAACAGGCATCATAGAGGAGAAACAGGTCATAGCAGGCAGAAGGTAGCAAAACATGCAAAAGGCAACCATATCACTTTCTATCCCTTATATCTTACCCAGGATACTTAGGGAAGGTAGCACTCACACCCTTACTTTTGGTGCCCTTGATCCTAGTGTTGCATGATGAATCAAATCCAGCATCACATGCCATAGAGCTAGCCCCCTCTAAAAAAAAACCCTACTAATGACTACAGAAGGCTTTGGAGGACAACCTAAACACAGGCTATATGAACAACCTTTTCAGTACTCTAGGTATTTCATATGCAGCCATATAGCTAGAACAGAAAGGGTGCAAGGAAAAAGTACTTATATGATAACTATGTCCATAAGGCAGTATTTTTTTAAGTATTTAGTACAGGATCTATAGGGTCTCACTACACAGATTGGACTCCTAGTGATCCTCCTATTTTCAGCCTCCTAAGTGCTAGGATTACAGATGTGCACCACCACACTGGGTCTAATTCACTGTCTCAGTGCACCAGGCGGCAAGGCTGGCGGGGCACACTGGGGATCAAACCCAGATCTCAGTGGCTGCCTAAGCAGGCCCTTTAATCCACTAAGCTATCTGGCTGGCCCTAAGGCAGTATTCAAAATGCCACTGGTATAAGATACTAACTAACAAGAAACAAAACACCAAAGCATAGGAGTGACTAGTAGGGATGCGAGTTTGCACACTGAAGGAGCTAAGTATAACCCAAGCTTTACTGTGGCTTTGTCCATGTTCAAGTGTAACCGCAATTAGTGAGAAAGAAGTTAGGATTCTATTAACACTAGGGATTGTGGTGCCAAAATGGGTTAGGGAAGCCCAAAATGAGTCGTCTGCATCATGGTCCTACAGAGGACTTACAGAAACTTCAGTCCTGGCTGTCAGAGACCCCCCAGTGCATGGGCAGGCAGGCCACTTGCTCAAGGGCACATGGGAGCTGCAGGGCACTGTGTGAGCGCAGCACAGAGTCCACTCTGAAAGGTATGCTGTTTCCTACAGTATACAAATCATGTTGCTTACGCAACACACTGATCTCTCTTCTAAACCTTTCAAAAATATCTGGACAAAGAGTCTTCTTGGAAGCCT